TGTATACACAGGGAGACAGCTCAGGGGTCAGGAGACACAGGGAAGAGGTAACTATGGGGAGGAAGTGAGAGGGAAACTGTTGTATTGTGGGAAATTGCAGTCCATGTCATTAAAAAAATGTATGTGACCTGCTGAATGGAAAGTGAATTTGCTCTGTAAACTTTCATCCAAATCACAATTAAAAAAAAAAAAAAAAGTTTAAATCTTACTGTACTCAGCTTCAGAGAAACTGGAATTGCTAAGTGTTATATCACGTGAACCACTGGGTGAGGGTGTACAGCTTCACTAAGAGTGATGCAAGTGTTAATTTTTAATAGAAACATGACTGTAATTCTTACCATGAAAATAGTAAAGTAAAATGTTTCTATTCCAAGCCCATAACTGCAGCCCTTGTCCAGACAACTGGATTCAGCATGGGGAAAGCTGTTATTTTTTCTTTGAAAAATGGACACTTTGGCACCGGAGTAAAGAGTATTGTTTCAAGGAGGGCTCCAAGCTTCTACAGATAGACAGCAAAGAAGAAATGGTAAACAATATTTTAGGTCTCCTATCATTCCGAACATACTGAGTTAATTGTTGAAAGAAAGCACTGATTGCCACAAGGCAGGATTCCTTAATTCTTCTATCACAACAATCTATTTGTTAAAATTTTAAATGAGATAAATTTGTTTTTCTTTTAATGAGGGAATCAGAAGAAACAAGATACTCATCCAGAAACTATGAAGACTATGTTAGTTCTATGTTCTTTGTTTAAAAAAGAAGAAGAAGAAGAAAAGAGGTGGGGCAATTGTAGAAGAATATAATTTTGTGCCATGCTAATTCATTCCAAAAAATACATACATTATAATTTTGTATGTTTGAAATTTATTTATTCCTTTAAACGGTGTAGGGAAGTGCAATAACCTATAACAATCTGTAATTGTGAAGGAAAAACAAAGACATAAAAAGTGAGGAGATATCATGAAATGGATAGGTCTGAAAAATAAGCATTTTACTATTATGGATTTGGCAAAGTTTCTTCTAACAAAATACAATTATAGGCAAGTTGCTTATGGAATCTCCTAGACTCTTTCTTGGATGGGAGTGTACTGGGAACGAATAACCCTTGTGCTTCTATGATGCCAAGGACAGTTTCCTTGCCCTGATAATGAGAGTTCAGTACAGCATTTACCTTTATTGACGTATTCTATCTGCTCGACTCTCAATCTCTTAGGAGTGTTTTAATACCAGCTACTTATTTTTCCGTAAACACCACTGGTCATATACCAAGAGAAAAGAGTCTGTAATTTTTTTTTCTAAGCCCGCTCCTCTTCCCCTAGTTCCATGTTTCCATTAATTTCTTTATAGGCAAAATGTTACACTTTTATATATTATAGTAGTATTTGTTTTGTTTGATACCCCTTGGGTCATAGTTCAGCTCTTGTTTCTCATAGAATTTTATAACTGATATCATGAAGAAGACCAAAAAGGACCACCAGTACTGGGTTGGACTGTCTCAGGATGGACTCAGTGGACTTTGGCTTTGGCCAGATGGCTCCTCCCCTTCCTCTGATCTGTAAGTGTCTAAAAGAAATATTGCAAGAAAAATCGAAACATGAAGGGATTCAAAGGCTTATTATAGTTTGTATGTTAAATTTCCTCCAGGAAACCTAACAAGCATGATAGCTTCACAGGTTACTAATTACAATCAAAGTCAAGGTAATTAAGAGTAGCTTTCTGCCTTCTAAATATTGCTTCTTCTCAGATCCACTTCCATTAACCTCTAGAAAATGTATATCGAAATTTGAGCGTCTGATTGAACAATTTAAGATAGAATATTTTTCAAGTAAATTTTCTTTATATCGCTTAATAACTAAGGAGTGCTAAGGAAAGGAGCTTGTGGTAACTGTTAAGCCATTTTCATATTAAACTTTTCAAATAGAACTGGAGATATGGGTGAACAGAATCAGGTGTCTAGTATTTTGAGAATTAAGAGTCAAGAAAGAAACTCTAATTTAAAGCCTATGTTAGCATAGCCGGAATCTCTGGTAGTATAGTGCCTAAAGCACTTGAGTGCTAACCAGAAGGCTGGTGGTTCAAATCCACCAGCCACTCCTCGGAAGGAAGGTTGGGGAAACTACTTCCATAGTGATACCCCCTCGGAAACCCAAGGAGGGGTCACTATGAGCTGGGGCCGACTCGATGGCACATAACAACAACAACATTAGCCTAGCCATTTTATGTGTTTTTGTTGATATTATATTAACATATTTTTTATTGAGATAAAACAGCTCTGGTATTGAAAAAGGAGTCTGAAAGCACCAGAGAGGGGTGCGAGAAAACTACACACCTCTCATTAGCTACTCATAAGAACATCACAGTAGCCCCTATATATATAATCTCAAATATAACACTGACTTTTCTCTATAGGTGGTCAATTCAGAAACTCCAATCAATTAACCAGGACTGTGGGTACCTCAAAGAGAAGGCCCTTTTTTTAGCTAACTGCAGCAGTTGGAAATATTTTATCTGTGAGATGTAAGCTTTGTGATCCACTATCTGAAAAAAAATTGTGCTGTAAGCAATCTTGCTATCATACTCCTTTTTGGAAGTTGTTGTTGTTGTTGTTACGTGCCATGAAGTTAGACCCAACTCATAGAAGAGGCCATTGGAAAACCTGCCACCAAAAACCACAGAGCAAATGACAAAGTAAACCAATGTGTGGGCTATGAAAACTAACTGAGTTTTGAATTTATACTTGGAAAAATTCTTTAATGTCCTCCAAACTTTTATTTGACGTAACTCCAATTGCTAAGAATAAAACTGATTTAGAGGTACCAGGGACAAAACACTGAAAAGTGAAGAACAAACTGAAAAAAATAATAATTATAATTCCCATTTGACATTTTGTGTATGTGTTTGTCTGGAGTAGCCATAATCTCCACACAGAAATCTGTAAGTCATTGCAGAAATGGTATGGTTCTAGCTTGATTGTATTGTTGAGCTCTTCTGTATCTTTGCTGAGTTTTTTTTTTCCAGTTGACCTGTCCCTCTTTGAAAGTGCTGTGCTAAAGTCTCCTACCACTATTGTAGAGTTGTCTATTGTTCCTTTTATTTTTAATAACCAGTATTTTTCAATAAATAAATAAATAAATGTGGTCTTTCAAACTCACTGTCTGCCAGATCTTTCTTGAATTTCTCTAAGCTTCCAGTATGTTATCAGACTGATAAAAAGTGAGTGGGAGGACAGAGGTACAGATTTTGAAGTTGGAAGGAAGCCAAGCTTCCTACTTCAGCTTGTCAGATGACACCCTTTTTAGAATTGCAAAATTCTGCTGGAGAGGTGAACTACTACACTTCATGTAAGTGGAATAGTCAGGCCACCAGTATCACTTTATCCTCAATAATGGACAATGTAAGTTTTCTTCCTTGCACAGGCTATCTCCACCTGTCAATAATCAAAGAGCTCAATCTCTGAACTCTAAGTTAACATTCTAGCAATTTAACTTTTAAGTATGTTCGTCCAACAGATACCCTCTGTATCCAGAACTCTAACAGTCCTTGGGAACAAAGAAATACTGAACCTTTCTTTGAGTTTATCATACAAACAAAGATAGAAGCATGTAAATATAATACAACCTTGTCGTAATATTGGAGATATGCACAGGTGCTAAGAAAATTTGAGGTAGTATTACCTAACCTAGACAGATGGCTGGCCTTTCCATCATCAATAGACTGATAATTAAGCATCTGTGTACGAGTTTATATCTGTGATAAAACACAACAAATAACACCAAGCTAATCTGATGGTTTACTTGATATGCGTAACTGTTGTTTGCTGCATAATAATTAAGCCCAATAGCAAATTTAGGGAGCACTCTGCTTCTTAGATATAAACAAACAGATGAACTGTCATGAAAACCCTCTTCACCACTGGTTAAGCTGAGAAAAAGCCTTACCTGATGACACCTTTTTCATTTACAATTCTCATGATTTGGATCTTCTCTATATTTTTTTATTTGTTTGTTTGTTTTCTGTTTCATTTATTTCTGCTCTGATCTTTTTTATATTATTTCCTTACCAGAAGGCTGGTGGTTCAAACCCACCAGCCACTCCTCAGAAGGAACATGGGGCAATCTACTTCCGTAGTGATACTGCCTTGGAAACCCAAGGAGGGGTCACTATGAGTCAGTCTGACTCGACTGCACATAACAACAACAATAGATACTGTAGGATTCTTTTCTTGTTCTTTTTCTAGTTGTTGGAGTTGATAAGTTAGAGTGTTGATTTTGTTTCTTTCCTCTTTTTTGATATATACATTTTTTGTTCCTCTCAGTACTACTTTCACTATGTCCCATAGGTTTTGGTATGATGTATCTTCATTCTTGTTTATTTCTAGGAATTTTTTTATTTCAGTTTTTATTTGTTCTATTACCTAGTAGTTTTGAGCAGGGAATTGTTCAGCTTCCACATGTTTGATGTCTTTTCCTTGATCTTCCTATTATTGATTTCTAACTTTATAGCATTGTGCGCTGAGAAGATGCTTTGTAGTATTTCAATGCTTTTGAATTTATTGAGGCTTGTTTTATGTCCTAACATATGATCTATTCTGGAGAAAGATCCATGTGCACTGGAGAAGAATGTGAACTGTGAATTGTTGGTTGGAATGCTCTGTATGTGTCTATGAGGTTGAGTTGGTTGATTGTATTGTTGAGCTCTTCTGTATCTTTGCTGAGTTTTTTTTTTTTTTTTCCAGTTGACCTGTCCCTCTTTGAAAGTGGTGTGGTGAAGTCTCCTACCTATTGTAGACTTGTCTATTGTTCCTTTTAATTCAGTTAATATTTGCTTCACGTAGTTAGGAGCACTTACATTGGGTGCATAAATATTTATTATCATAATGTCTTCTTTGTCAATTGACCCTTTCAGCATCATATAATGTCCTTCTTTGTCTCTTATTATGTTTTTCACCTTAATGTCTATTTTATCAGAAATTAATATAGCCACTCCTGCTCTTTTTTTACTTCTGTTGGCTTGATATATATTTTTTTTTTCCATCCCTTAACTCTTGATTTGTTTTTATCTTTGTGTCTAAGGTGGGTCTCTTGCAGGCAGCATATCAATGGGTCTTCTTTTCTTATTTAGTCTGCCACTCTCTTTCTCTTGATTGGTGCATTTGTCTCATTCACATTGAGTGTAATTAGTGACAGATATGAATTGATTGTTGTCATTCTGTTGTTTGTCATGTTGTTGGTATTTCCTTGGTCTATAAACTTTTCTCTACTGAGTTTGATTTATTGTCTAATGCTTCCTCCCTTTTCTTCCTTATTGTTGGTTTTGTGCTTGTTAAACCTATATGTTTCCTTCCTTCTGAGTTTGCTTAGGGGGACTGTTAATTTTCTCTATGGTTACCTTGGAGTGAATTCTTGTCTCTACATCTTTAGAATAGTGCATTCTATGGGTGTCATCACAACAGAACTGAAATAGAAAAGATACTGACAGAATAATATGAAAAACTGTACTCCAACAGATTTGATAATCTAGAAGAGATTAACAAGTTTCTAGAATCACAAGACCTACCTAAACTATCCCACTCAGAGATAGAATACTTGAATAGATCTAAAACAAAAGAAGAAATTGAGCAGTCATAAAAAAACTTCCTACAAACAAAAGTCCTGGCCTTGATGGCTTCACTGGAGAATTTTACCAAATATTCAGAGAAGAATTGATATCTATTCTACTCAAGCTATTCCAGAACAATCAATGTAATCACCACATAAACAAAACAAAAGAAAAGAACCACATGATTATATCAATCAATGCAGAAAAGGCAGTTGATAAAATCCAGCACCGATTCCTGTTCAGAACTCTTAGAAAAATAGAGATAGAAGGGAAATTCCTCAACATAATAAAAGGCATATAGGCAAAGCCAATGACCAACATCATTATGATGGAGAAAGGCTCAAGGCATCCCCTTATGAATGGGAACCAGACAGGGATGCCCTCTATCACCACTTCTATTTAGCATTGTATTGGAAGGCCTTGCCAGAGCAATAAGGCAAGAAGGAGAAATAAAAGACATACACACTGGCAAAGAGGAAGTAAAACTATCTCTGTTTGCAAATGATATGATCCTGTACATAGAAAACCCAAGGGATTCAATAAAAAACAAAAACTATTGGAACTAACAGAGAGGTTCAGAAAAGTGGCAGGATACAAAGTCAACATACAAAAATCATTTGGATTCCTCTACACCAACAAAGAGTCCTCTGATACAGAAATAAGGGAAACAATACCATTTACAGTAGCTACAAAAGATAAAACATATAAGGAATAAACCTTATCAGAGACACAAAAGACCTATACAAATAAAACTATAAAACACTGCTGTAAGAGACAACAAGGGCACTACATAAATGGAAGAACCTACCTTGCTCATGGATAGGTAGACTTAATATTGTGATAATGTCAATACTACATAAAGCAATCTATGCATTTAACTCAATCCTAATCCAGATTCCAACAAAATTTTTTAAGGACATGGAAAAACCAATTACTAACTTCATATGGAGAGGAAAGAGATTTCAGACAAGCAGAGCACTTCTGAAGAAGAAGAACAAAGTAAGAGGTCTCACACTCCCAGATCTTAAGAACTATACAGCCACAGTAGTCAAAACAGCATGGTACTGGTACAATGATAGACAAATAGACCAATGGAACAGAATCGAAAGTCCAGAAATATATCCACCCACCTATATGGACAGCTGAACTTTGACAAAGGTCCAAAACCCACTAAATGGAGGAAAAGACAGCCTCTTTAACAAATGGTGCTGGCAAAACTGGATATCCACTTGCAGAAAAATGAAGCAAGACCCATATTTCACTATATATACGAAAACAAATTCAAGTTGGATCAAAAACTTAAGTGTAAAACCCAAAACTATAAAATTCAACAAAGATAAAATAGGGCCAAATCTGGGGACCCTAATTCATGGCATAAATAGACTATCAAGCATAACCCAGAATGCACAGGAGGTAGAAGGGAACCTAGATGACTAAGACCTTTAAAAATTAAATTCCTTTGTGCATTGAAAGACTTCGTCAAAAGGGTAGAAAGAGAACCTACAGATTGGGAGAAAATATTTGCCTACAACATATCTAATAAAGGACTTATTTCCAAAATCTATAGAAAACTTCAACACCTCAACACCAAAAAGACAAATAACCCAGTTCACAAATGGGCAAAAGACTTGAACAGACACTTCACCAAAGATGATATACTGGCGGCCAACAAACACATGAGAAACTGCTTGAGATTATTAGTCATTAGAGAGATGCAAATCAAAACAATGATGAAATATCATCTCACTTCAGCAATAATAGCAAAGTTCAACAGGTCAGAAAATAACAAATGCTGGCAAGGTTGCGGAGAGATTGGAACCCTTGTGTACCCCTGGTGGGATTGTAAAATGGTACAACCACTGTGGCATATGGTATGACATTTCCTTAAAAAACTGAAAATAGAAATACCATTTGACCCAGCAA